CTTTTCCCATCTCTTCACTTTCATTCTGTATGTGTCTCTAGATCTGAAGTGGGTCTCTTGTAGACAGCATATATACAGGTCTTGTTTTTGTATCCATTCAGCCAGTCTATGTCTTTCGGTTAGAGTGTTTAATCTGTTTACATTTAAGGTAATTATCGATATGTGTGTTCTTTTTGCCATTTTGTTAACTATTTTGGATTTGTTATTGCAGGTGGTTTTTCTTCCCTTCCTCTTTGTTCTCTTCCCTTGTGATTTGATGCTGTGTTTGGATTCCTTTTTTGTGTATCTATTGTAGATTTTCAGTTTGCGGTTACCATGAGGTTTTGATATAGCAGTCTATATATAAATAAGATTGTTTTAAGTTGCTGGTCTTTTAATTTCAAATCCATTTCCAACATCCTGCATTTGTGCTCTCCTCTTCTCACAATTTTGCTGGTTTTGATATCATATTGTGTGCAGGTGATTTCCTACCTTTACTGTATGTTTGCCTTTTACTGGTGAGCTTTTCCAATTGTAATTTTCTTGTTTCTATAGTAGTTTTGGTCTCTTCTTTTTCACTTAGAGAAGTTCCTTTAGAATTTGTTGCAAAGCTGGTCTGGTGGTGCTGAATTTTCCTAGCTTCTGCTTGTCTGTAAAGCTTTTGATTTCTCTTGTCGAATCTGAATGAGAGCCTTGCTGGGTAGAGTAATCTTGGTTGTAGGTGCTTCCCTTTCCTCACTGTAAATATATCTCACCACTCCCTTCTGGCCTGAAAAGCTTCTGCTAAGAAATCAGCCGATAACTTCATGGGAGTTCCTTTGTATGTTATTTGTTGCTTTTCCGTTGTTGCTTTTAACATTTTTTTCTGTCTTTAATTTTTGTCAGTTTGATTACTATGTGTCTCAGCATGTTCCTCCTTGGAATTATTCTGCCTGGGACGCTCTGCGCTTCCTGGACTTGGTTGACTGTTTCCTTTCCCATGTTAGAGAAGTTGTCAGCTATTATCTCTTCACATATTTTCTCAGGTTCTTTCTCTCTTCTCCTTCTGGGACCCCTATAATGCGAATGTTGGTGCATTTAATGTTGTCCCAGAGGTCTCTCAGACTGTCTTCATTTCTTTTCATTCTTTTTTCTTTATTCTGTTCCGTGGCAGTGATTTATACCATTCTGTCTTGTAGGTCACTTATCCATTTTTCTGCCTCAGTTATTGTGCTATCGATTCCTTCTAGTGTAATTTTCATTTTAGTTATAGTGCTGTTCACCTCTGTTTGTTTGTTTGTTCTTTAGCTCTTCTGGGTCTTTGTTAAACATTTCTTGCATCTTCTCGATCTCTGCCTCCATTCTTTTTCTGAGGCCTTGGATCACCTCCGCTATCATTATTTTGAATTCTTTTTCTGGTAGGTTGCCTATCTCTACTTCACTTAGTTGTTCTTCTGGGGTTTTTACCTTGTTCTTTCATCTGGGACGTATTCCTCTGCCGTTTCATCTTGTCTAACTTTCTGTGATTGTGGTTTCCATTCCGCAGGCTGCAGGATTGTAGTTCTTGCTTCTGCTGTCTGCCCTCAGGTGGATGAGGCTAAGATTAGGCTTGTGCAGGCTTCCTGATGTGAGGGACTGGTTCCTGCCCAGTGGTGGGTGGAGCTGGGTCTTGTTCCTCTGGTGGGCAGGGCCATGCTCAGGAAGACTTTAAGCTGCGTGTCTGCTGAGGGGTGGGGCTGTGTTCTGCCCTGTTGGTCATTTGGCCTGAGGTGTTACAGCATGGAGCCTACAGGCTGTTGGGTGGGGCTAATGGTGGCCTCTGGGAGGGCTCACTCCAACGAGTACTCCCCAGAACTGCTGCTGCTGGTGTTATTGTCCCTGTAGTGAGCCACGGCCATCCCCCACCTCGGCAGGAGACCATCCAATACTAGCAGGTAGGTCTGCCCGTCTCTTATGGGGTCACTGCTTTTTACCCCTGGGTCCTGGTGTGCATGGGACCTTGTGTGCGCCCCCCAAGACTGGAGTTTCTTTTCCTCCCAGTCCTGTGGAATTTCTGCAATCAAACCCTGCTGGCCTTCAAAGCCAGATTCTCTGGGGGCTCCTCCTTCTCTTGTCAGACTGCCAGGCTGGGAAGCCTGATGTGGGGCTCAGAACTTTCACTCCTGTGGGAGAACATCTGTGGTATAACTGTTTTCCAGTTTGTGAGTTGCCCACCTGGAGGGTATGGGATTTGATTTTATAGCGACTGCGCCCCTCCGACCATCTCACTGTGGCTTCTTCATCTTTGGATGTAGGCTATCTTTTTCAGTAGGCTCTAGTGCTTTTCTTTTTGTTGATGTTTGTTCAGCAGTTAGTTGCGGTTTTGGTGTTTTTTTAAGAAGGGCTGAGCTCACATCCTTCTACTCTGCCATCTTGAGCTAATCTCTGACACAGAATATCATGTGTCAAGCACTGTTTGTTGCCATGCTTGCATATGCAGTAAGTGTACGGCTGTTGTCTGCAGATGTTTGCAGTGCTGCCTCTCCTGTTTCCTTCTTCATATTCATGATTTATGTCCTCTCTCTTACCTTCTTCAGTCTTGCTAGAGATTTATTTTATTGATTTTTCTTTTAAAGAATTAGCTTTTTCATTTTATTATTTTCTGTTTTCAATTTCACTGATTTCTGCTTTTTTCACTATTTTCTTCCTTGTACCTGCTTTGAGTTTATGTTGTTCTTTTTTTTCTCGTTTTTTGATGTAGAAACTGTGACTGAGATATTTCCTCTTTTTTTTTTTTTTTTTTTTTTTTT